GCCCACTCCATTTTGTTAAATTTTACAACAGTTTTCCTATTATTTATCACAGGTTCTTTTCCTTTGTTATATCTGGTGAAATAAAAAAAAAAATAGAAGGCCTTTAAAAGGACAACAATATAATCTAGCCAAGCGAGATTTACAAGGTTAGCCAATTATGATTGTTTTAAAGTGCAGGTGTGATCTCCACTGTTTTGAAAATAATTACATCTGCTTCTCTTATTTTATTTGATAAAAATCAAATATTTTTGGTGTATTTGGTAAACCTTCTCTAAGAAAAAAAATTAGGGGAATTCCCACTCACAAGTAACAGAAGTGATTGCCCGTTGAGATGGCAGGAAGTTCTGAGACGAACCAGAATCTTGTTTTACGGGCATGTCTCGAGTGATTCACACCACTAAGGAATACTCCTTGAACAACGATAGGCTTCACTTCCTAAAAGATAATCCCTGATGTAGAACTTGAGGTACTGTTACCCTTGGAGAAAAATGTCATCCCCGCACACTGAGTAATGTAATCAGAAAAAAACAAAGTTAACATAGATATAAACAAATACATGTTGAAAAAATTCTGCGACTAATAAAATCTTAAAAGAAAGACGTTTTCCGCATGGTCGCAGGTGTGGAACAAAGAAAAACGGAAATTATTTAAATGATGACTGCCAGGTGACATTTGTAAAACTTATCAAAAGAAGCGAAGAGCATTCACAGGCTGCTTAAAGTTGCACAAAAAAATCGCACAGATTACCTTCCCCATCAAGATGGAAATTAGATGGTATGCTGAAAGTATCTAATAAGGAACTAGCAACAGAGAAAATGGTCATAAGATATTTTAAAATTGAGTGCGAGGCCCTTTACATTATCAATTTCCCTGTGGCACTCTCTTAGTGTGATTCTGACAGAAGCACAATTACGGAGTGATAGAAGGACGTTTGGAGCGGAGGTGACATCAAACTGGCATCTTATAGGATGCTGTAATAAAACATGAAACCTACATGACGAAATAGTAGCCGAGTATGAAAGCGATGTTCGCAGTAACGAACACTACTTAAGCAGTAGTGAAAACGAGGCCTGAAAAAATTCAGGCCTGTATGGGATTCAAACAGACGCAAATTATGATATTTACAAGGCGCAAAGGAATTTATGCACATCACTTCGACGCAAAGCAATAAAGAAATATTTTCACAACAAAGCTGAAGGATCCCAAAATCCAGCTGACTTTTGGAAAATGTATCGTCCACTCCTGCGCTCCAGGAGCTCTGGCCAAGCAAAAAACGACATATTACTTAAAGAAGATGGTAACTTCATAAATGACAAAAAAGTTCTTGCTGAGCTTTTTAATGATTACTTTGTAAACATCTTGGAAGATGCCAATGAGATCACGGAAATGGATTATGGTACAGATTTCATTGAACATCCAAGTATCAGAGCAATAATGCACAATAAGGTGGAAAGGGAAACCTTCAGCTTTGACCTTGTGAATTCATCCCAAGCGGATCTTTTATTATCTTCTTTTAACAGTCGCAAATCCTGTGGTCATGATATGCTACATCCGAAGCTACTCAGATTATCTGCTCTGATTATAGCGCTTCCAGAGTCAAAAATAATTAATTCCTCAATCATTTCGTGTTGTTATCCGGTTAGGTGGAAAATGGACCAAGTAACACCGCTATTTAAAAAAGAAGATGAGCTCTACAAGAAGAATTATCGACCAGTGACGGTACTACCAATTTTAAATAACATCTATGAAAGAGTCTTGTCTGACCAATTATCAGTATATTTCAAAGACATATTGTCTGACTCCATTTCTGCATATCGCAAGAATTATAGCTGTGAGACCACACTGCTGCGTCTAACAGAAGATTGGAGGGCTGGCTTAGATAATAAAGAACTCGTTGCTGTGATATTTCTAGACCTTTCCAAGGCCTTTGACTGTGTACCACACGAGTTGCGGCTAGCTAAGTTGAAGGCGTATGGGGTAGCCGAACATCGCGTTGCTCTGTTGCGAAGTTATTTGTCTGGAAGATCGCAGAGAGTAAAAGTAGGCGACAAGTTTTCTTCTTGGCTGCCGGTTATAAAAGGAGTACCTCAGGGAT